GGGCAAGTATTTGACCAAGAGTGTAGAGAACCGTTTGCATTTGAAGAGGAGGCTTTATCGCTTCTAATTGAAGAAGGAAATCTCCATTGGTGATCACATGAACCACTACACGAAGCTTCTTATGGATTTGGCGAATGTAGATGTGATGATTGAAGATGAAGACAAGGCGTTGTTGTTGTTGAGTTCCTTGTCTGACGAGGAATATGAGACCTTCATTCTTACTCTTATTAATGGGAATGCATCGCTTTCTTATTGTGAGGTCACCGCTGTACTTTTGAATTATCAGCTTTGAAAGAAGGATAAGGAGACTTCAGTTGAGTCGGTAGCGGGAGTATTGGTCGCAAGATCAAAGAGTACAAACCATGGTAGGGGGTCGCAGTCTAGAGGGACACATCTTGGAGTTCGTAGGAATCGGTGTTTATTTTGTAAAGAGGATGGACATTGGAAAGCCGAATGTCCAAAGTTGGTTGATCGAGCTGGAAAGAATAAGGGGGAAGCTATTCAAGCTTCAGAGGTGAATGTTATCAAGGCTAGTGGTAATAATTCAGATTCGGATTCTTCGGTCTACTCATTATCTGCACTATCGTCAGTTTGTGTTGCCGACTCTACAGAGTGGATGTTAGATTTGTGTGCTTCTTACCATATTTGCCCTAGGATGGATTGATTCTCTAACTTTCAGGAGTTGGAAAGAGGAGAGGTCGTGCTCATGGGTAATGATCATGAATGTCCTATTGGTGGTATCGGTACCGTTCAGATTAGGATGAGTGACAGGGTGATTCGGGAGTTGGTTGGAGTGGGGTTCATTCCTCAGTTGAAGAAGAACATCATTTCGCTTGGAGTTTTGGAGGCAGACTATAGGGTGACCTTGGTCGATTCACATTTGAAGATCATACTGGGGTCTATGATTGTGATGAAGGGCGTCAAAAGGAATAATTTGTACTATTTGATTGGGAGCACGGTGATTGATAGAGAGCGAACGACTTCTTTGGATTTGGCTAGACTAGGGCAGTTGTTGAGGCTGGGTTATTTGATTAGTTATGTCGTGCATGGTTTGTTGAGGAGTATTTTGACCTACAGATTGAAGTCCTTTGAGCACATTGGTATGAGCAAGAAGACCGATGTGGAGTTTGACACTTCTATCCATCGATCGAGGGGTCTTTTAGGTGGTGTTTAGTCAGGTATTTGGGGGCTTTCCAAGGAGGCATTATTGGGAGATAATCGATATTTGGTTTCCGTAGTTGGCGATTGTTCTAGGCATTGGTGGATTGCAACCAGGTCCCGTTGGTGTGAAGTCCTAGAAGTCAACAACAATTGGAAGAAGTGTATTGGCAGAAAGGTAACCCGTCGTTCTAGCTTTAGTATGGGTTCTTTCTTGCATTTGTACCGAGCTTATGGCAGTTTGAGACACTTCATTGATGTGGAGACATTAGGGCGATGATATGAGATGACAGTTTTGATGAGTCATTCCTTACTAGAGGGGGATCGGTGTTGGTTGTCGAGCATTGATTTTGGTTTTGGAGCTTCGACATATTTAGGTCATCTTGGTCATAGGTTGCCGACTGCTACGTGTGGAAATTTTGGATCTGGTGGAGCTGCTTCAGATTTTGGGTTGCGTCGGATATTTGGTTGCCCGATATTTGGTCACATCGAGGATGTGAGTTTTGATTCGATTGCACGTTTGGGATTCAGAGGTTCGTTTGATTATCAGTTAGGAGCTTCTAATTTTGTTCTGAGCAGGTATGTCACATTTGACTCTCGACAGATAGAAAGTATTGATCAGATCATTAGGATATCACAGCAGGTGGAGGGTAATGCTACTTCACATTGGGTGGAGATTACTCCACATACTCCAGATCATACTGTATCATTTGGGATTATAACTGAGGTGACATAGTTTGGAGATTATTTGGATTTGGATACAGATGATGAGTTGGTTTTGGGTTCGAGTGCAGCTGGTGGACATGTTTTGGATACAGCCATTGGTTCACCTCATATGGAGGTATTTGATTTGTTTTAGTTTGGGGTCATTGGGAGCGCTATCAGTTGCAGATCCATTGGTGATATTTATGAAGAGTTGCAAACTTTTCTATTTGATTGAGGTCCTTTGAAGGCCGTTTGGGTGAACTACGTAAAGACTTGATTCCTTAGACAAGAGGATACGTATGCAGTCATTTATGATGCAGCCGGTTTGGTGAGTTAATACCGACATTTGAAGTTTGTTCGCGTTCTTTTTTGGGTTCTCGACTTGTTGTGGATTGAGTCCATTATCGTGGATTTGTTCCACTTCGTACTAGACGTAACAAATGAGACGTTTGGTTGGTATTGGTATTGGCTCAGTTTTAAAAAAACTTCATCGAGGTGGAGAATTGTTGGATAGCAGGTTCCTAATATATTTTCTAATTTGTTTTGGTAACAGGTTATTGGGATTCCTAATCTGTTTTGGTAACATGATTCCAAATCTGTTTTGGTAACAGGTTAATAGGATTCCTAATCTGTTTTGTTTTTTGTTTTAGAATTCCTGGTATATTTATGATTTTAGGATTTCTATATATATGGAACAATTGGAAGAGAGAATTAAGAAGAAAATTAGGGATATTTAGAGCACAGAAAAGAGGTATTTACTGAGCTATTGGTTAGGGTTTTGTTTGGAGAGAATTAGAGATTTGTTGGTGAGATTAATTTGTGAGTTTGAGTGATTTGTAATATCAGTTTGTATTCTTCTTCTCTATTAATGAAAAACCCTATCCCCTTCTTGCCCCATGGACGTAGATAACTTACCGAACCACGTTAAAATTGGTTGTTTGTGTTTGTGCCATTGATTTGGTTCTTTTGGCATTCTCTCGACGTTCGTTTGATTTGATTTCTCGTAGCACGTTGGTTTGGTTGTTTAGTTTCTGCAGCGCTCAACATTGGCAAGTGGACAGGAAGTGAGCCGGACCAAAATCTGAACTGTCAGTTTCGGACCTTTTTGATAATATTACTCTCCCTTTTTTATTAGGATGAAGGTATAGTTCCACCAAATTTTGTTCTATCACCGGTTATTCCACTATATATGTTGTAAGGATTTGGATTTTGCAAATATACTCAATGACATTAATGTTTTATAATTTTTTAGGTTTAATAGATTAAAAGACATTTCAATACTTTCAAAAAAATTGCATTGAATATTTTCAACTTTAATGTTTGAATTAACTCTTAATTTTTAGTTAATAATTACATTTGAAATCTAAGCAATCTAGAATGCTATTTATTAATTTTGTTTCTATGACATGTCCCAATACTTGCTAATATTAACCAATACTTATCATGAGCCTCTAAAAAAGGTTTTTCTGAATACGCCACTGGGTGCCAATTACTAAAAGATTGATATTGGAGCATTTTTGGTATTCCATGCCCCCCTTTAGCTTGGGTCATGAAAATCTCAAAAACGTTATTTTTCTCCATTTTCACCCTAAAACTCACCACAACATCCAATAAAATATTATTTTTATCTAACAACTCATCCACTTTATCCAATAGAATATTATTTTTATCCAACAACTCATCTCATACCATCTCCTAAAAATAAATCAAACACAAGAAATGAGTCACATCATCCAACTCATCTCATCTCATATTTAAAAATCACACACATCATCCAATAATATGGTGATAACTCATCTCATCTCATTAACATTTTATTTTCATCCATTTTCTCAAAAAAAAACAAGGAAATTGATTTTCTTAAGTGTGGGTCACATCATCCAATAATATACAAACAACTCATCTCATATCATCTATTTTCTTATTTTTAAGAATGAACCAAACACAAGAAAGAAACTATTATAAGAAATATGTTTTTTATAATACATTTCCTTATTTTTTTTAACCAACCAAACAATCTTAAAACAAGTTTTCTTAAAAAATCACTCACATCATCCAATAATATGGTGACAACTCATCTCATCTCATCTCCTATTCTTTGATCTTCTTCTTTTTTTTAGCCAACCAAACAACCATAATACAAGATTTCATATTTTTTTATTTCCTATTCTTTGATTTCCCACTTTTTTTAGGCAAACAAACAGCCCCTAATTCCGAAATATTCAGACGCGTAATTTGTAAGCAAAATGATCGCCTTGCTCCTTTTTGGAATACATGGCTAATGTGTATTCATTTCATGTGGGCCCAGTGGCCATTGGCTATTCTTCATTTTCTTTTCTCTTTTTTGTTTTTGGGCTCCTTGTTTAAGCAGCCCTCTCTTCATGCTTTAGTTTTATTCCCGCGGATTAGCCCACTAGCCCATTGAAGACGGGCTTAACACACACACACACACCCTTCTCTCTCTCTCTCGCACATTTTGCATTACTTTTTCCCCACGCGTATATACTATATAGCGACTGTTCGATAAAATTCCCAAAGTGTCGATTAACTTCAAACTCTATGATAGGTTGTTACGTTAATCATGCTGATCTTGGCAGTTCTCTGTCGTCGAGTTGATGGCTTTTCGCTGTTGCATGAAATGACGAAGATTGTAGTCCTGAAAAATGAAAATGGATGAGCTGATGTCTGTGGTTTATGCTGATCCTGGTTCTTTGGGACTCATGGAAGAATGCAAATATGCAGCTGTGGACGAAACTTATAGGTATGTGTGATTGGTTTGGGTATTTGTGGGGCGTAGTTCATGTGTTTGAGAGAATGCCAACCGGGGAGAAATAGAGGTGCTAGTTTCATTGAGATGTAAGAACTCATTAGAGTTAGATTACTTAATTCTAAAAATGTGATATGGCGTAGCTCAACGAAGATGCCAGGTTTGTTCCAATTTATTTGTCTCTCAAAATAATTACTTTCTGCTTCCTTCGTTTGTTGTTATTCATTGACATCAACAAAATTTCCATCTGCAGAAGTGTGCAACCCTGCAGCATGGCATCATATGTCAATGAGTTGAACTTTTGCAGTGATTAAGTTTCTGGGAGTTGGGTACTTTATGCTTTTAAGTGACATCTAGTAAAGGTATGAATTCCTGAAACCATGTTTTATTAGACCAGCATTTTGTTCTACATTATGTTGCTATGTTTTCTTGTGTGAATTCCTCATTTTCGTAGGTGGAGAAATAAGGTGCTTTCATCACTTGTTTTGTTATATAAATGCGTATTGTTATTTGAACGCATTAACTTGCTGTTTGGAAATTGTAAGCACTACTGCCACTTGTAACCTTGCAAAATGACACCTTGATGAATTGATAGATCGAGTTATCAAAAGCAATAACGAAAATAAAAAAAAGATGTTGCCCAATGGTGACAGACCTCATTATCAAGAAGCCACAGCATGGTAGGAAGTTCATTCTGCATACGAACCTTGGGTCAATTTCCTCTGTTAACATCAATTTAGCACAGAGTTATGAGTAAAAATTCAATATTGGAGTTTCATGATTGACAACGGAAAGTATCATCGGATATCGCTTAAGCCAGAATTGGATTTAAGGTTTCATGCCTTTTTGGTCTCTCAGGCTTTAACAAGTAAAGCAATATGTGCTAAAAAGGCTGGAAGCAAAAAGATCTACATGAGATCTAGCAAAATCTTATAAAAATTCGCCCTTTTCTACTCTTCCTGTCAATTCATTACTTGGATGAAACACAAAGAGTCTTATATAGGACTAGCATTCTATTGACTGACGAGGATAATGTGTTAAAAAGTACCCTATCATGCTGCTAGGAGTATGAAAATCCAATGGTTATAATAGTGGAGTTTCTTTCCCTTTTTTATCTTGATTTCTTCTTGTCGTCACCAGATTTAATGAGTCAAATGCTGGGCAGTGTGCCATCATCCAAGCAATGGAGGGAACACTGCATGCCATAGAGCAAATAAGAACAGAAATGCACTTACGACCTGATTCCACCACCACATAGATGCCCGTGGCAAAAGCCACAACCATTCCTCCATGGGCCACCCACATCAATTTCATAGCAACTCTAATAGAGTGCAACCGGACATCATGATCAGAAGATCCTGTATAAATGAGGAAGCAAGTGACTATAATGGAGCTAACCATTGCTAAAGCATCAGAGATAAGGAAAGCCTTGAAGGTTGTTTTCTTTCCTAGAATTGCCATCCCACGGTCTGGGCCATCATTCTCATAGCCACCGGGCAGAGTGAAGGCTGCGGCAAAAGTGACAGTTGCAATAAGAACTGCCACTATTGCTAGGTTATTCGATAATGCCCTATATCGGTTAATTTCTTCAGCATCTTCTGAATAAAAATCCTTTGTCATTAAGTCCATGCATTGTGGGCTGAATTGTGAGCCTGCTGACATTAATCTCTTCATGATCTTGTGCTGCACAGCGACATAATCAATATCATGATCAAGCAAGAAAGTTTATCCTCCTGCATTTATTTATTTATTTTCATCCGTCAGTTTCACTCACTTCTGAGCGTTGATCGTTTTTTTACTAAGACTTTTGCAGACAATATGGAGGTGGATAAGAATACACAATTCCACTATAAGTTCAAAAGTGTTTTAAAAAATTCATTTCTTTGATGATGGCCCTGATAGGTGATGACTTTACAGAATAGTTATTGTATTTGTGTATATTACAGTGACGTTGTGCTATCTATGTGCTAATAGGTTTTCAGTTTTTGCAAGTGGAAAGAAGGATAGGAAAACTGTAGAGCAGCTACAAAGAATAACTACTATTTGTGTGGGCTTTATCCTAATTTGATCCTATTACATTTAAAGTCATTTTGTCTACATTTTGGTTGATAAAACTTCAATAAAGGTGAAATAGGTTGGTCAAATTTGATCTTATTAATCTTTCTTGTTTCCCGTTATGTGAGAACAAAGAGCAAAGCAGTTTAAAGTAACATACATAGGAATGTTAAATAAAGAAGTATCTACTGTTCTAACGCTTATGCTTGAGTTCACAGACAAGGAGGCAAGATCTAGAGGTGTGAGACCCTTGTAGTTCCTTGATCTGGTGTCTATTCTCTCATCAGCCAGCAAAAGATTTACTATCTCCAGGTTGTGAATAAGTGTTGCCAGATGCAATGGTGTGTTCCCCTCCTGATCCATCGTGTTGATCAGCTCCTAACGAGCAGGATTATTGAGAACATATTTCACGACCGTCAATCGCTTGTTTTCAATGGCAACAACAAGAAAATTCCTCTGCTTTTTATCGGTGAGCTCGATAGTGTCAGGACAATGCTTGATTATCTCGGCAATGACTTCAATGTAGCCCATGGTGGCAGCAACATGAATTGCTGAAAGACCATCTTTGTCTAAGAGATGAGCTGCGGAAGCATCATGATGGAGGAGTAGCTGCCTGGATCATCTTATGATCGCCAAAGGATGCAGCATAATGAATAGGAGAGCTTTCAGATGCATCCACGTGGTGACTTATAAGTGGCAATTTCTTCATCAGGGAGTTCTGCAATTTCTGGTAATGACGTAAAAAATAAAGGCAACTGTCAATAGCGTCCAGCCAGTCCATTCAATTGGGAATGTATCTATGAAAATTTAAAGGTACAAAACTATATTGTTGGTTCTCGTTTGTATAGTTGCAAAAGTGAAGTGTTATGTTTAGGTTTTTTTTTCAGTTATGTTTTAGTTTGTTTTCATATGTGCCCTCCAAATCATATGTAGTTTTTAAAATTATCCTCCAAATCATTGTAATTGTTATTGTACCCTCTAAATTGTAATTATCTTTCAATTTTACCCCTCATCCAATTAAGGAAATAACAGTGGAATATTATGTTAAAGATTGAACTGCTCTGAAAATTATTCATTTTAAAATAATATTATAATTTATCAGGTTAGGATGAGGGTTAAAGTTAAGGGATGACTATTGTTTGGGAGTTAAATAGCAATTATGATGATTTAAAAAGTTTTTTTTTTAATACTATAGTTTGGGCGCATATATGGGAGAAAAGTCACTTTAGCTTTTGGACTTAGAACTATAGAACTAGAACTGATTATCTCATTGCCATTATGTGTAAATACGATAGTTTGGGCGCATATATGGGAGAAAAGTCACTTTAGCTTTTGGACTTAGAACTAGAACTGATTATCTCATTGCCATTATGTGTAAATATAATTTAGAAATTGTGCCACTTCATATGAACTTCCCCAATTATAAATTATGTTTTTACTTATATACCCTTCAAAATTAGCATTTAGTTTATTTAGGCCAGAAAATATTTGTGTGTGGAGCACCCTTAAGAATACATTAAGTTTAATATTAACTAATTGTATTATATAACCTACTTTTCTATATGTGATTATCTAGGAGAATGTAAGTATGAATATACAGTACACAAATCATTTTACTCACATTGCCTCAGATTTCTTGGTTTTAAATCAAACTTATTCAAGATTGGATAATAATTAAGCAACCTTCAAAAGTAACCGAAATTTTCATATTAGCACTTGCAGTTATATGTTATGAGTCTCCTTACTGAATGTGTAATCTCTTCCTTAAAATTGAGACTTTACTTTCACCCGCATATTAAATAGTAATCATAATATTTAGTTGGTAATGAATCAGAATTTATCAAACTAAACACAGGGGTACAGATTTAATTTAATATTTTTTTAAAGGGTAACTAAGCTATATTTTACATTATGTATGTGTGTGTGTAATCCTTAATGAATTCTGTCATCTAACTAACTGACATCAAAGGACTACACACATCTAAATACAAATTTGTATTAAAATTGAATGCATGCCTGCAAATTAACGTGTTTCGTAACTCCCAAACTTACAAATGACACACCACAATTAATGTGGATCTTTATCATTAGAGGGATTTGTCTCATAATATTCTCCTCTTCCCTAGAACTTACGACATATTTCTCACAAGCCACACATGTTGACCAGCACTCCTAAAGTTTTTAATTCGAAAGTTTAAAGGTATCCATGCTTGAAATCTTAGGTGTTAATAAGAAATTTTGATGGTAATTAATGATCTACGTCCTATAGGAATAGGTGTATCTGCAATCAATCTTTATGAAAGTAAAGAGAAATAACTAGGCCTACCAGAGTTTCGACAAACAGCGGCATGCAAAGCGGTCTGGTGATCAGGACCTCCAACAGCGCGAGCTGAAAACTGCAGCAACATCCTCACAATCTCCAACTCTCCTCTCTCCGCTGCCAGATACACTGCTGATTCCCCATGTTCATTAACAATATGACCCAACCGCCATTCCTCATGCATGAGCACTTTTGAAGTGCTCAGATTACACTGTTTCACAGCCTCATGCAATGGTGTATTTTGCCACATTCATTTCGCATCTCACATAGATCAGCTTGTTTGTATTTCACATGCCTAATCAAGACATGGACCACAAGTCATGGCCCCCATGTGCAGCACAGTGTAGCGGAGTGTCTCCTCCGGAGTTGACTGAATATGTCAAGTCTGGATGATGATTGAGGATCTCTGTCACTGAGGACTCATAGCCAAGCCCAGCAGCAAGGTGCAGAGGTGTGTTCTTCTCTGCAGTTATGCCTTGTAGGCAACTTGGCTTCTCTTGCATCAGTGTCTTCAACATGTCTATGTTGCCTTCTTTCAACACTCGGAACAATTGTGGATCCATAGCTCTCTCAAATATTAAATTGTGAGAAAAATCTCTTCAGTTCTTTGTTATGGGAAGAAACTGTATGTAACTCTTAATTAATAGAGAAGCAACTGGAGATGGATGTTACTGCGATTGACTTGACAGGCTATAATGGCTTTGAGGAAAAGCAAAAGAAAGAAAGAAAAAGGGATTGCAGATGCTTGGAGCATAGGAGAAAATATCTACTGTACTTTTGCTTCCAACAACAAATTTTTTGGATCAGTGTGAATATGTTAGGCTTTGGGATAAATATATATGCAGGGTATGTGACTTTATTTATGCTTTGAGGTCGCTGTGCTGCGTGGTCCACGTACTAGAATCAATGTAGAATTTGATTCCTTGTTTCTTTGTGTAATTTCTGTTGCGTAATAAGTACTTGCAAGTTCCCATTTATTTCCTTCTACAAATTTACTTTCTGCCTTATTCCAGTGTTGTTATCCATGTGCATTGAGGTTACTATGCTGCGTGTCTAGGTACTAGAATCAAGTGCAGAATTTCGTTACTTGTTTCTTTGCGTAATTTCTATTATAAAATAATTACTTGCAAGTTCCCTTTCTCAAAAAGTTACGTTCTGCCTTATTCTAGTGTTGTTATTCATGAGCATTGTCAATAACTGCAGAACCGTGCGCAATCTGGTGACATGGCATGACTAACTGCCAGTAGAGTTAAACATGTATTCTGCCTCATCAATCAACTTGTACTTACGGCTGTTGGGTTTTCAAGAGATATTTTAATACTTTTGGGTGACACCAGCAAAGGTATGAGTTATTCTGAAATGCCAGTTTCTATTATTAAATCAACATTTTGTTTGACATAGTGGTTGCTATTTTCCCTTCACTAGACTCCATGTTTTGGTAAAAGCAATAAGTATTGTGCGCGGCGGAAGCCAAACAACCGATGTGCTTCGAGAAACCAAACCAATTGCCGAGAGAGAAGGCCACAAACAATTTAAAATAACGACACAAACACAAACAACCAATTTTAACGTGGTTCGGCAAGTTGCCTACGTCCACGGGGCAAAAAGGGGATGAAGTTTTCACTAATAGAGAAGAAGAGTACAAACTGAGATTACAAATCACTCGAACTCACCAATTAATCTCACCAACAAATCTCTAATTCTCTCCAAATAAAATCCTAAACCAATAGCTCAGAAAATATCTCTTTTCTGTGCTCCAAATATCCCCAATTCGCTGCTCTATTCTCTCTTCCAATCGTTCCATATATATAGAAATCCTAAAACCAAAAACATACTAGGAATTCTCAAACAAAAAACAAAACAGATTAGGAATCCTAATAACCTGTTACCAAAACAGATTTGGAATCATGTTACCAAAATAAATTAGAAATCCCAATAACCTGTTATCAAAACAAATTAGAAAACATATTAGGAACCTGCTATCCAACAATTCTCCACCTCGACGAAGTTTTTTCAAAACTAAGCCGACACTAATACCAACTAAACATCTCACTTGTTGTGTCTAGTACAAAGTAAAACAAATCCACAACAAGTCAAGAACCCAAACGAGAATGCGAACAAACTCCAAATGTCGGAATCAACTCACCAAACCGGCTGCATCATAAATGACTGCCTACGTATCCTATTGCCCAAGGAATCAAGCATTCACGTAGTTCACCAAATGACCTCCAAAGACCCTCAATCAACTAGAAGAGTTCGCAACCCTTCTCTAACATCATCAACAAATTTACGGTTGATAGCTCTCCTAATGGCCTAAAAGTGAAACAAACTAAACACCTCAACCTGAGATGAACCAACGGTCATATCCAAATCCAAACTATGTCCACCAGCTACACTTGAATTCAAAACTAACTCATCATCTGCATCCAAATTCAAATGATCCCCAAACTATGTCACCTCAGCTAGAATCCCAAATGATACAGTATAATCTGAAGTATGTGGAGTAATCTTCATCCAACGTGGAGTAGCATCACCCTCCACCCGCTGCAATATCCTAACGATCTGATCAACATTCTCCACCTGTCGAGAGTCAAATGTGACATACCTACTTAGAACAAAATCAGAGTCTCCCAACTGATAACCAAACGAGCTTCTGAATCTCAAACGTGCAATCGGATCAAATCTCACATCCTCGATGTGACCAAATGCTGGGCAACCAAACATCCGACGCAACCCAAAATCTGAAACAGCTCCACACGATCCAAAATCTCCACACGCAGCAGTCGGCAACTTATGATTAAAATGATCCAAATATGTTAAAGCTTCAAAACTCTTCTGCAATCCAATGCTCGATAACCAACGCCGATCCTCCTCCAGCAAGGAACGATTCATCAAAACTGTCATCTCATCTCGTCGCCCCAATGTTTCCTCTTCAATGAAGTGTCTCAAACTGCAGTGAGCTCGGCACAAATGCAAGAAAGAACCCCTACCAAAAATAAAACAACGGGTTACCTTTCTGCCAACACACTTCCTTCATATGTTGTTGACTTCTAGGACTTCAAACCAACGGGACTTGGTTACAACCCACTAATGCCTAGAACAGTCCCCAACTACGAAAATCAAATACCTATTACCTTCCAACGATACCTCCTTGGAAGGGCCCCAAATACTTGGATGAACACCACCTAAAAGACCCCTCGATCGATGGATAGAAGTGTCAAACTCCACCTCGGTCTTCTTTCTCATACCAATGTGCTTAAAAGAGTTCAATTTGCAGGTCAAAACACTCCTTAACAAACCATACACGGCATAACCAATCAAATATCACAGCCTTAACAACTGTCACAGTCTAGACAAATCTAAAGAAGTTGTCAGCTCTCTACCAATCACCGTGCTCCCAATCAAATAATATAAATTCTTCTTTCTGACGCCCTTCATCACAATCATGGATCTAAATATGACCTTTAAACATGCATCCTCTAAGGTCACTCGATAGCCTACTGCCTCTAAAACTCTAAGTGAAATGATGTTCTTCTTTAACTGAGGAACGGACCTCACTTCATCCAACTCCTGAATCACTCCGTCACACATCCTAATACGAACGGTACCGATACCGTCAATAGGGTATTCATGATCATTACCCATAAACATGACATCCCTTCTTTTCAATTCCTGAAAGCTAAAAACAAATCCCTCCTAGGGTAAATGTGGTAAGAAGCACCCGAATCTAACATCCACTCTGTAGAGTCGACAACACAAACTGATAGTAGTGCTAATGAGTAGCCTAAAGAATTCAAATATGAATTGTCTCCACTAGCCTTGACAATATTTACCTTTAAAGCTTGAATAGCTTTCCCCTTATTCTTCCCGACTCGATCTGTTAACTTTGGGCATTCGGTTTTTTAATGTCCATCCTCTTTACAAAAGGCACGCTAATTCCTACGAACTTCAGGATGTGCCCCTTTAGACCGCGATCTTCTATCATGGTTTGGACTCTTTACTCTCGCGACCAATGCCCTCGCTACCGACTCAACTGAAGTCTTCTTATCCTTTTTTCAAAGCTGATAATTTACAAGTGTAATGGTGACATCACTATACGAAAGAGATACTTTCCCATTAATAAGAGTAAGAACGAATGTCTCATATTCCCCGTCCAGCAAAGAACTTAACAATAACAACGCCTTGTTCTCATCTTCAATCATTACATCTATATTCGTCAAATCCGCAAGAAGCTTCGCGTAGTGGTTCATGTGATCATCAATGGAGGTTCTTTTTTTTAATTGGAAGCGATAAAGTCACCTCTTCAAATACAAGCGGTTTTCTATACTCTTTGTCAAATATTTGTCCTCTAGGATCTCCCAAATCTTCTTAACCGAAGTCTCATTGATCACATCATATTTTAAATCTTGAGTTAAATAAGATCTAATCACACCACACGTCGTTCGATTCATCTTCTTCCAAACATTCTCTTCAATGTCGCCCGGTTTCCCATCCAACTTTAAAGTATCCTCCAAATTTAACTCATTGAGCGCATCCAAGACTTCACATCTCCAAAAACCAAAATTATTTGTGTCATTAAACTTCTTCACATCTATTTTCATAGAGTGGATAATCAAACTTTGAACGGTCTTCACGTCGGAAGTACCCTCCACAACTCCTTCTTTCTCGACCATCTTTCTCAAATCACCAACAAATCAAAGCGGAAAAAACGAAGAATAGATCCAAAATTAAAAAAGATAGTCTTATCAAAAAGATCCCACATTTATCACCAAACGAAGCCCTAGACGAGCCTCCAAAACGATCTACTCCTCTAAATAGCTCAAGCGTAGCCCAAGCTCTGATACCACTTGTTGTGCGCGGCGGAAGCCAAAACAAAACCGACGTGCTTCGAGAGACCAAATCAAACAAACGCCGAGAGAAGGCCAAACAATGCAAAATAACGACATAAACACAAACAACCAATTTTAATGTGGTTCAACAAGTTGCCTATGTCCACGGGACAAAAAGGGGATGGGGTTTTCACTAATAGAAAAGAAGAATACAAATTGAGATTACAAATCACTCGAACTCACCAATTAATCTCACCAACAATTCTCTAATTCTATCCAAATAAAACCCTAACCAATAGCTTAGAAAATACATCTTTTCTGTGCTCCAAATATCCCCAATTCGCTACTCTATTCTCTCTTCCAATCGTTCCATATATATAGAAATCTTAAAACTAAAAACATACTAGGAATTCTAAAACAAAAAACAAAACAGATTAGAAATCCTAATAGCCTGTTACCAAAACAGATTTGGAATCATATTACCAAAACAGATTTGGAATCATGTTACCAAAATAGATTTGGAATCATGTTACCAAAACAGATTAGGAATCCCAATAACATGTTACCAAAATAAATTAGGAAACATATTAAGAACCCGCTATCCAACAATAAGAACTTGCAATAGACATGAGAATTGGTGTTGTCACTATTATTTGACCATGTAAACGTATATGGTTATTTGACCATAGATAATTGTTTGCTGGGAAACTATAATTGTTATTACCGCAATTATTCTACACATTGTGACCTTGTAAAATAGCACCTTAGATGTCTTAAGAATGGACTCGTCAAAAGAAAAAATGAGCGTAAAAGAGATTTTCCAAATGATTATAGATCTTTATCAAGCAGCTATAACATGGTAGGAAGTCCATTATCCATCCAAACTTTGGGAAGACCGGTTTTCGTTTTCCCGTTCTGCACCAAGTTAGAGGTAGGAGTAGAAACTTGATCCCGGAATTTCATGGTTGACAACAGAGAGGATAAATGGTATTGCTCAAGCCAGCTTTTGATCTAGTTTTTCATGTTTTTTGTGGTGTCTCAGGCTTTACCAAAATATTATCAGTTTCGTTGGATTTCTAGGTTTGTTTCATGCAAAGTTCTGAAAAGAGTTCAGGCAAAGGATTTAGGATGAAGCAAGCATGAATTTTTATACAGAAGAAATGGTTCATAAACAATATTACAAGAAAATCTTACATGCAAAGATCATTGTTCACAACAATTCATTAGTTGGATGGAATACAAAGATTCGTATGTGGGACTAGGAATAAATTGAATCATATTTAGAACCACTAGGTGTCTCGAAGTCCACTATCATGCTGTTTGGCATTTGCAAATCAACTATTCTTGATCTGGCAGTTTCTTTCCTTTTTTTCTCATGATTTCTTGTTGCCTTCACCATCTTTAACGAGTCAAACTTTGGCCAACATTTAATTATCCAAGCAACAAAGGGAACACTACACGCCATGAAGCAAATAAGAATAGAAAGCCATTTACAAGCTGATGCAACCACCGCATAAGTTCCCATGGCAAAAGCCACAACCATTCCTCCAAGGGCCACCCACATAAATTTCAGTGCAATGCTTATAGAATGCAGTCGAACATCATGATCAAAAGATCCTGTATAAATGAGCAAGCAAGTGACAATGATGGAGCTAACCATGGCTATAGCATCAGAGATAAGGAATGCTTTGAAGACTGCCTTCTTTGCTAGAATTGCCATCCCACGATTTGGGCCATCATTCTCATAGCCACCGGGCATAGTGAAAGCAGCAGCAAATGTAACGGTTGCAATGAGAACTGCTACAATTGCTAGATTATTTGCTAATGCTCTGTATCGATTAATTTCTTCAGTTTTTTCTCGACAAAACTTCTTTCTCATCAAGTCCATTCGTTGTGGGCTGAACTCTGAGCCTGCTGACGCCAGTTGCTTCATGATCTTGTGCTGCACAGCGAAGGACTCATATTGCGATTCAAGTAAGAAACTCTACCTTCCTAAACTTAAAAAGCTTTTCATTCCATCAGATAAATTAGCTGATTTTTGTGATCCCTCCAAGTGAGATCAAATTCGTCAAGACTATTTTATTTGCTCTGATGCGACATCAAAGCAGACTATTTTCAGTTGTAAATCTTGTTATGTAGATGTAGAGGACATATTACTCTGTAGATAAATAAGGATCTTTAGGACCCACTGTAGATTATTTTTAGGCTGTCTCTGATTTTCTTTGTTCTGATTCTTTTATCAAATATGTGAAACTGAATCTCACATGTAAGGTTTAGTTTGGTGGCCCATAATGGATGTCTTTAATTGTCCATGTTACCACGGGAAGGTGGATGTATTGTAGGACTTCAAATGATAGCTATTGTATCCGTATAGGTAAATGGAATAATAAATTCTCAGAAGGATGTTTTCGAAAAATAATGCGTCTTTATGTATATGGATCTTAATTGTATTCTAATTGTGTTGAAGGGCAAGGAGTTGCAAAGGCCAAAAACCATTGGATATGATACTGACTAGTTTTACGCCGTGCGATACACTGGGCTTTTTTTTAGAGTGGTGATAGGGGCACACCACCAACCACACTCTCCTCTCTCATTTGCTACAGTACACAGGGCCCCACATGAGATTTTAAACTTTTAAAATCCCATGTGAGGTCCCGTGTACTGTAGCAAATGAGAGAGGAGAGTGTGGTTGGTGGTGTGGTTTGGGGTGTGCCCCTAGCATTTCTTTTTTTTTTATGGAAGCGCTACTTACTTTGTACTACAATGTGATGTGACAATCATATTGCAACGTTACTATTTTGATTGTTGCGTATTGCTTTCACTCTAGATATTATATTAATTTGAAACTAATTGCAATCAGTGAGTGGGAGAGAGAAAAAGAAAGTAGGTTGTGGAAAAATCAATAAATAATTAATATATAGAAATTGGAAGTCAATTGTCTAAGGATTTCCCCAGTGGCAGAAAAGGGGGTTTGTTTTAGTCTATAGTATAGATAAGTAGGAATGTGAAATAAATGAAGCGTACCATCCTAAGGCGTGTGCTTGAATCCGTACATGAGGAAGCAAGATCAAGAGTTGTGAGACCCTTGTAGTTCCTCGATCTGGTGTCTATTCTTTTGTCGGATAGCAGAAGATGGAGTATTTCTAGATTACGACTGTTTGTAGCCAAATGCAGTGGCGTGTTTCCATCATGGTCAGGCTCATTGAGTAGCTGGTCAAGTGCAGGATCACTGAGAACATATTTCACAACCTTTAATCTCTTATTTTCAATGGCAACATGAAGAAAATTCCTGCCTTTTTTATTGGTGAGCTCTGCAACATCAGGACAGTGCCTAATTAGCTCGGTAATTATGTCCGTGTAGCCCATGCTAGCGGCAACGTGAATTGGTGAAAGGCCATCTGTGTCTGAGAGATAAGCTGCGGAAAAATCATGGTGAAGCAGTAGCTCAATCATCTTATGGCCACCAATGGATGCTGCGTAGTGAAGCGGAGAGCTTCCGGTTGCATCCACTGTCTGACCTAGAGCTGGTCTTGCCTGGAGCAGTAACCGTGCAATTTCTAGTAATCGTATAAATATTTGAAATTGTTAGTAGTATCAATAGTATATAGTTAGATTTTGGTGTTTTACATTTAAAATATGAACATATATATTTTTTCCCGATTCAGAACATGATCAGATATTTCTTTGTTCTTCGCTACCCTGCAATGTTTGTGTATGAACTTATTTTGTATGTATTGTTTTGAGATCCTAATACTTCCTGGAAAATTTCTCAACAGTATAATTTTGAGGGCAATTTTCGCTCTATTATACATATTTAATCTCATAAATTCTAGGTTAATTGGCATAGATCTCTATACTATCACCAGATCATGGATAAACCCTTGTAGTTCAACTGTTGAAAATAGCCCCCTGAGTGAACTTTTTTTCCTCTTCTACCCTTAGTGAAAGGAGAAAACCTTTTTTTTTTGGACATATAGACCTTCTGAGGGTAAACAGGTCAAAAAAAAATTCAGTTGAGGGGTTCATCTGCAACAATAAAGCTATTGGGGGTCTATCCGCAATTAATTCCAACTTATATGTGATGCTAATTAGCCAGCAAAATATTCGACTTTATGAAAGTGCAGGGAGATCGATTAAAGTTACCATAGTTTCGACAAACAGCAGCATGCAAAGCCGTCTGTCTTTTAGGCCCTTCAACTGCGCTACTCGGAAACTGCAGCAACATCCTCACAATCTCCTCCGCCCCTCTCTCTGCTGCCAGAAAAACCGCCGACTCCCCCTGATTATTTATTTCCTCTCCCAACGCCTCATCTGCCTTCATCAGCTCATAAGCAATCCTCAAATGCCCATTTCTTGCAGCTTCATGCAGCGGCGTGTCCCCACGTTCATTCTTCATCTCGTGTAAATGAATCTGACCGTCGGACTTTCTTGCGCTCCCAATCAAGAAATTGACCATGAAAATTTTGCCTGCTCGGGCTGCGCAATGGAGCGGAGTTTCTCCTCTTTTGTTGGCTACAAATTGGAAATACAAATGGCTGTCGAAGATCTGGTGGATTTCAGGGACCGACCAGTTGTAGTCTAGGCCAGCAGCAATGTGGAGAGCTGTGTTTTTCTGTGCGGTTAAGCCATGTAGGCGACTGGGGTTTTCTTGAAGAAGCATCTTTAAGGAGAAGATATCGGCTTTTTTCAAGGCTCTGTAAATTCTTGGATCCATTGTTTCGTCTGGACCGTAAGGATCCATTCTTCTCCAATAATAGGAAGGAGTAGCTCCTTAAATCTTCTGCTAAGAAGACAAATTGATGCACTATATAGATTGGCCAACATGCAAGTGGACTTGACTTACATGAGAGTAGAAGTCAGTGAAGCCAGGAAAGAGGTAGGAAATAGCATATGATGTGATCGTCTTTGAAAACCATACCCCATTGCAAACTGGAAGACAACAACAACGAAGACGTAGGAAGTAGCCTTTGAAGCATTCCATGATACAAACATCGACATCAGGGGTTGAAAAGAGGAATTTTCTCAACCACAGATTCATTCGGGCGAGGATTTTTTTCTCTCTCTTTTGAGAAACTGTCCGTCTGGGTTACTGCTATCTTTTGGTTATTGACTTCGTGTGAGAATTTAGATTCTATCATGTCACTTTCTAGAATTTGATGGCATATTTTAACGTCTTAATTATATATTTATTACTTCAATATTTATGATTTTTTTGGATTTGGACATCTGCTTCACCCAAATGGGAAGGAGTAGCTCCTAAATCTCATAGTTGACTTGGTAGGCTTAACTTGCATGCAGAAGGACAAGCAGAGGACACAGGGTCCTGACTCCTGAGCACGTGGATCCCTTTATTTCCACGATCAGGTTAGTTCAGCCATATCTTTCAAGTGTAGAGGAGAGTGGTCACTTTCTCAGCAAGGAAGGCATTTCTATTGAAAACTAACCAATGATACACCAATGAGCTGATCCAAGGTAAACAGTTCTTGATACGTCAACTAATGAATGTGCAGAAATTTCTGAATACTTTCTCCTTTCATGTGAAAGGACAAATTAGGCCACTAGAATGTGCGTAGGACATTCTGATCCCTCGGCTTTTGTGTGATTTTGAATGTCAGCCAAATTAAAGTGGATGGTTGAAATTCAAGAACCCAAGGTGAAGTGAACAAGACATATAATTAACCTTGTTAAAGTCCCTCTTACCATTAGACCAGAACTCTAAAGTTGTGGTGAGCGTTGAAATTTATATTTTTATATTTTAACATGTCCTCGCGGGTTGAGCGTATTTTTTATGGCTGAAACTAGCTGGTCTCACGCAGTAGTGTTAATTTTTAGAAAATCCGCTTTAAATTCAAAGCTGGTGGGAAATGAACTTGTGTTGCTCTCACATCATCTTAAAGTCCCACTAACCATTACCAAAAAAGTTGTGGTAAGAGTTGAGGTTTATATTTTTATAATATGACAAACCTAATGTCATAATGATGTTATGCCTGATTTCATATTCTAGAATGTACTGACTAGTGGGCTTGATGTGCATGCATAAAACTTTATGCAGGAAAAAGGTAGGAAGTAGCCTTTGATGTGATCTGTCTTTGAAAATCATGCATCTAAGCATACTGAAAGATCACAGTTAGCAGAATTAAAGCTTTTTATGATGAAAATATTGTCATCAGCACGGACAAGATAATCTACAATAAATTCAACTGGTTAGGGACTCCTGAATTCCCATGAGAATATTTACTAGGGAGTTGCATCTCTTGGTTAGACTTCGGTTTGTATGGTGTTGCAGAGTTTATGTGACAATTTGGACAGTACTTTTAAAGCAGGAGTTTAAAATTTCATGCTGAACTAAACATGGGATTGGGATTGGGATCAGATGTAAATTGACTATAGTTAACTTGTTGCGCTTGACCTTCAAGCAATAATTTGTAGGACGGTCAGGAACCCCGCACGTTAGTTGAGGAGAAAATTTAATGTGGTCACTTTCTTTGTGAGAACAGAGGGTCTTTTGAAGTCAAACAACTGGAAGGATTAGTATGTATATAGAGTTAAAATTTCTCTCTCTTCTTCAGAGTTGATTAATAAAGTTAATATTTTTACTGGAGAACATTCACTTGTTCTTTTAGTAATAAAAAAACTGAAAGAATGGTTCACTAGTTTTTCAGAAGTCCATATGTCCAAAAGCATAAGAGCTAATTGAATGCGTAAGCACGAACATGATTGACAATTAACTTTCATGTATCATGTTCCTTGAAAACTCAGTTACGTCACTGACTCTAGAATAACAAAACAATAGCAAAACAATTCACAGGAACCAAAAATATCAGTTTCGAAGGATTTGGTTATGTTTTTTCGCTCTAAATTCTGATTTTGTTAAAGTACAGAGGAACAGTACGTGTTGAGAAAGACTAAATTAGAGCTTATAGACGTGTGAAATGAACATCAAAGTAGAAGAACAGAAAATTAAAGTAATAACAGAAATGAAATACTAAAATTTAGTTTGTCACCACGAGTGAGACTTCAGAAGATTAAGAACTACACTTTGCAAAGACCGTAATAATGTTTTTATACCCACTAGGGCCACCACTACCACAAAAAACATGAAGATCATAAATTCGAGATAACTAATGAATCACGGGGCGGTCTTCCCATGGTTGTAGTGCATCTAGCTTAAGGGCAATGATCATTTAAGTCAATCCCCACCAATCAACCCCAAATATAGCATGAATTTGAAGGGAGATGCTCAATAAGATAACCATAAGTGCAATTCCAGTATCAGGTACAGCTGATAACTCATTGTTGTACTCCCCCCACGAGCCTCTGTACTTCCTCAACATAACAAAGCTGAACAATATGCAACCACGAACTAAGACCAAAAGTTCATTGTAGCAGCTGGAGTATCCAAGTATCAGCACCAAATATAGTGGTAAATTTGATAAGCCTGAGCCCCCTTCTTGTTAGGAAAAATGCGATAAATCTGATGAGAAAAAAGATGAAGAATCCAGAATATGTGCAGTTTGGATAGAACATTTTATGGGGAACCCATGATGCCCCATGTAATTCCGAGAACATAGTCAAGATGTTGGGTAGGGCGTACCCAGGGGCTTTCCTTTGGTAGCTTATCAGAGTGGCATATGTTCTCAACTGATGCTACTAACCGCCATCACATACTGAAGTTTATTATACTTGCTATTGTTGTGCCTTGATCCTGCACCTATGAAGTGAAATTAGTAGCATTAAGCTTAGTATAATTTCACAATATTTGACATAATAACGAAAAGGTGTCACTAGCTAGAAAGTGTTAGCTTGTATTGGACCCATGAAATTGATGTAATCGGTTTCGATCCTGAAGCTAAATGGGTTGATAACTGTCAACTGTGAGCTCACCATCTATCCGATGACAATGGAGCTGAACTCTGAAATGTGCACCATGAGTGAATTTTGATGAAGAATGAGACGGATGGACTGTGAAGTAAAATATGCTTTGTTGTTATCTATGTCTTTCTAATGTAGCAGACTTCATTTTCTTCTTTCTTTTGCCAGGGAAGTTTTGGAGGAATTTTCATGTAAAAAACGCAGCTTGAAATCAGAAATGAACATTAATGAAGCCATCTTGTATCTCATGAGACCAAAGCATCTAAATGTCATGTTAGCAACAGGTTTGCCTGGAGATAATCCCATAATTATTTCTAAAAAAATATTTACTGGAATCTCCTGTATTAAAGTTTAAAGGATATATTCTCAAATGTAGTAAATATTTTAAGATCAACTTACGAACTGACAACTTATGAGCTGGAAGAAGCCTGAAGGATGCCATCTGGAAGAAGTAATATATGAACCACCATACTTGCTAATAGAACTCCCCAGTATGAAAGCTAAAATTGCTTTCCAAATCCTTCACTAGCAACAATTACTAGACCAATCATCAAGATCAAGATAGCATAGAACCACCATTGAGGAACAGGTTCATAATTCTCTTCGTTAGTTTTGTGCGAGTATTTTCATCTTGATATTGTGGTATGCCAGTTTAAATGGGTTCTAAAATGATCTGCAAATTATTATATGTTTGTTTTTTATTTATTTTTATTTTTATTTTTATTAGATTTTCCACTAGTAACTCATAGTTTATGTTGAAGTTCACTGGACAAATAAAACTTGTGTATTTAAATAAAATTAAAATAAAGTTAATTTTGTTCTCTTCAAATTTTGAATTCCTCAATTTTTGATGTGATATGAGAAAAAATTTTGTTTCAAAACAAATAGGAAGGACTATTATACATATAAGATATTCCCATAAATCTCATGAACGTGGGACACAATAGCGAACCATGACTTGGGTTCAATCGTCCTAGAACGCGGTACAAAAGTGAATTGGGGTACGCACTCGGTGACCCGATTTATAATTTGAATTAGTTAATATCTTGAAGAAATACGTCCATTTGAAAAACAACAACACAAATGCATACCTTAGCGTTTGGCAACCATGGCGTTTTTGCCATTTTCGTTTTTTTTTCAAAAAAACAATGAAACGTGTTTGGCAACCGGGGCGATTTTTTGACTTGACCCTTTACAAAATCCAAAAAATAAACATTTTTCTTAAAACACTAAAAAGGTGTTTTGAGATTCCGTTTTTTCATCTAAGCCACCGCCCGTCCGCCGCCCACTGAGTCACCCCGCCGCTGCTGCGGTTGACCGATTCGTGCGGCCCGCCGTCCCCACGCCGCGCGCGCTGGTTGCTGCGCTGTCGGCCGCCACTCAATGTATGCCCGACCGGCCTCTGTCGCCAGCCGGGTGCCTATGCGGCTGTCTGCCGCCGGGCCGTCGTCAACTGGTCCGTTTGTTCATCTAAGTCGCTGGGCACGTCGGGCCGTCCGAGCGCCGCAAGCCCAGTCGCTGCTCGTCGGCTCGTCCGCCGCCGCCGCCAGCTACTCACCGCTGGTCGCCGCTTGCAACCACCCGCCCGCCGCCACTACCACGGCACCGCGGTCGCCGCTTGCCGCCACCTGCCCGCGCGCCGACCGTTTGTCGCGTCGGCACGTCCGCCGCCGTCACCAGTCCGCGCGCCCGCGCCCCACGGGAGCGCCACTGTCCGCCGCCCCGCCGCCACCCGCGACCGCGCGCCACCGCTAGCGCCGTCAGGGTCGCCGCGCGCGCACTGGCCCGTACGGACGTGGCCGCCGCTCCATCGCCGGACCGCGCCAGTCGGCCGTGCCGCCGCCCCGTCCGACGGTCGGCTCAAGTGCCAGCCCCCGGCCGCCGCCAGCCAACCGTCGTCGCCACCCGCGCCCTGGCAGCCGCCGCCGCCGCGCCGGCCGACAGTTCCGCAGCCTGTCGCCCGCGCCGCGTCATCCGGTCATGCGGTCAGCCGGTCGCGCGGCCATACCGCTCCACCTGTCGCCGCCCGCCCCTTGTCGCGCCCGTCGCCGCCCGTCGCCTGCAGCTGCGCAGCAGGTCGTGCGTCCGGTCCGTACGCGAGATGCGGCCCGCCGGCGGCCACGGCGCCGCTTGCCGCCGTCGCCACCGCCACCGCCGCCGCCGCTATATAAATAATAACTATAAATGGTGTTTTGAAAACACGTTTGAAAAATAAACACCATGGTATGGTGTTTTTAAAAAAAAAAACACTACAAAAAGAAACACTTTGATTACCAAACACAATTGACTTGTGAATTCTTT